TTGCGTGCGGTGTCCGCACAGAATAAGAACTCCTTGTCCTCTAATCTCTCCTAAATTTACCAATCCACAAGGCCGCCTCATCGTTTCGAACTCAGAAGAGACAGGCTAAAGAAGCTGCAGCTCATCTCTCAGACCAAAGCTTAGAGAGAGATTAGAGCGAGCGAGCGAGCGAGAGAGAGAGAGTTCCATCTACTCTCTGCGTCATTTTGAAGCAACTGCAGCCTTTTAGGTTCCTCTAACCCTTTGAGCTCTGGAAGTCTTCCCAAATTTGCGAATCCTGTTCAGAACTCTCCTCTGCAGTTCTCCAACTTCGTCTTCGGCTCGGTCTTTGTTGAGCTCAGGCTGATATTTCCTGCTCCAGTTCTTTTGAGAGCCCTCCGGCGGCTAGCGAGGGCCAGCTTTTAGTGCTGTGTGACGAGTTCTCGAGTTTTTCCTCTCATTAGGGCTTCCCGTTTCTGCTCTCGAGAGGAATGCACAGATCGCGGAGCAGAGAGAAGCCTCGTGCGGATTTCGATCCGTCGTCCACCACCGAAGGCAAACCCGCAGCCGCTGAGGGTATGTTTCAATTCCACTTTTCTTCTTGCTTTTAATCTACTGTAGATCATTCTGCTGCTGCAAGTTGATACATGCGTGCGAGGTGGAATCATGGAATAAATTTCCTAAAGTCTTTGCGATTTGATGCTTTTGAGATTCCTGATTTGTTTTGACGGAACAGTTCAGATGTGATTTTTTTTTTCAGTTTAATTTGTCGAATAATGACCGAAATTTGGTAGAAACAACTGATGAAATGAGATGCTGATGGGATTGAAAGTCGCGGCCTGAACGACGCACATGTTTATCCTTTTCTCTTGGCCCAATTCTGAATTTTTCTAATGAGGCGTGCTTTGGCTTCCTGCTCGTGACATGTTTTGACTTCTTGTGCAATTTGTATTCAGCCCATGTTTAATTTATAAACCTTGCTCTGTAATTTCCTTAAACTGATCCACTTTTTTATTTATGTCTCTATCTTATTGTTTTTTCTGCTACCTTGCTTTTCTTAAACCTGCCTTTCTCCTATTTTCTCTGATGTATATTAAAAAAATTGACTTTATATCAAGTACTGTATTGAGACTCAATTGATTTGTATATTAAGCCTCACTAATGCTTTATATAAAACTTTAATTGGGCTTGCTACAAGCTTTAAGCAAAAAAAAAAAAAAAAAAAAAATGAAGTTTTTCTTCTGTATTTACATATCTAACTTCTAACCTTAAATTTTTATTTTTGTATCACCCGAATCTTTCATATCACTTAAAGAATACCAATATTTCAACTTTTAAAAAGTGAAATGGACCTATCATGTATGTAAAAATTGAAGTTTAGGTGTTAGAAATGTAAATACACAAGAATTGAGTGGTATCAAATTGAGCAAAAAGATGTTAAAACTTTTTTATAAAAATGTGTAAACTTGTTCGATTAGTTACTTGAACAATCATAATCAGGTTTTAATTGAGTCAAATCACGATAGCTTGTCAAGCGCCTTGGTTCATTTGTTGTCATATTTTTTGGTGTGTTTCTCATTCTGGAAGGCATTAGTATGAATCACAATAAAGTTAAATCAATACTTGATATGTAGTCTTCAAGAACCACCAAGGAGTAATAATGACTTATAAGATGTGTAACTAGCCTAGGCCTCTTCATCTCAATATTTTGAAACAAATGCTTGTCATTTTGCAAGGTGATTACATGTATAAAACATTTTCAATTGGCTAAATTAAACTGAGCGACACATGATCTGAGGGTGTGCGGGTGGGATCAAAGGAACTTGAGCTGTTGTAGTTTATTAAAAACATTTTGCCCTTCAAAGGGAAGTGTCATGATAACCTCGTTAAATTTTACTTCCAGATAATGAATAATGAAAATTTTGACTTTTGAGCTTATTATTATTTTTCTTCTTTTGAAGAAAAAAATGCCATGACAAGACTTTAAAAATGACCTTGTGTTACTAAGTACATATTCAATAAGCTCAAGGAGCTAATCCCAATTAAGTTGATAGCTTAACTTTAGGATTTGTTGGCAAGTTTTGATATGAAAGTTAATGCCCGTTTAATGCTGAGCAAAGTTCAAGGCGAGAAAACTATGAAGTTTACAAGTTAGATCAAATTGAAGAAAATTATTTTTTGCATGCATACTCAAATAATTAAAAAAGGTATTCGACTTTAAGAGTCACTACTAGTAGGGTGTTAGAAAATTGAGACCTCTTTCTATTTGCAAGCTATGAACCACAGGTAGATGACCTCGCCTAGCTTGATAACGTCATCATATCACTAACTTTAAACATGCGTTTCCTCTAAAAAAAAAAAAAAAACATATTGAACTTCCTAAATAATAATTTTTTTCTCTGCAAATTATAAGTCGCCAGTCCTAAGAAACTCTAATGACTATAGAACTCTGACTATTAATTTGAGTTAAGATTTATATTTTGAGAGAGAACTCCATTCTAGTGCCAAAAGCTTTGGCAAAAGATGTGACCCATGTTAAAGGCGCTAACTTTCCAAAGAAGATATTACCTAGATTAAAAACCATTACTTGAGCCAAATATCAATTATCAAGAAATTCTTCTATAACTTGGAGTTATCAAAACTATTACTAAAGAGAAAATGCTGGCAAATTCATTACAAGTGAATCAGAGAACTCATATTTTAATTTCATAAGTTTTCTTTCACTGGTTGCTCATTGATATATTTTTTTTTCCTTCTTTGTTTTTTGAAAGTTAATTTATTGTATAATAAGTACAGTAGTAGACTGTTGTGTTTATGTTTATGTCTATCTTCGGGTTAATGGTAACTGGTGAAGGAGATATGTGCCTCTAGATTTTGAGTTGTCCTCATAAATTTTATAACAATGATGACTTCTGGTCCATTCTTACATGAGGAAGATATTGGTGTGTTTCAGGTTATAATCATCCAAGGAACTATATTAAGGCATCAAGGATGCAGTTGGATTCTGATTTTTCATATGGCCCCCCAACTGAAGCAAATTCTGTAAGTTTTTCATTTCCTGATTGTTTTTGGGTATTTATACACACAGCACACAATTCTTATGTATTTACATATCTCAAACCTAAACTTTCATATTTACACACTTCAAAAAGTGATAATAGTGTTATTTTTAATGTGATATTAAAGATTTTAGTGTAATGCGTATAAATCAGAAAGCTTAGGTGAGAGATATGTGGATAAATAAGAATTTGCTTCTATGTAAATCAGAATGTGCTACCTATGCAAATTTTTTTTATACTAGATAAACAATTCATTCAGCTTCTTATTCATTTTTTTCTCTTAAAAATTGATGATTTTGGTTTCTCGTACTGTCAGATTACCTTTGATTTTAAGAGCAGCACTTCCAAAAAGAAAACTAAAGCACCGTTAAGAGCTCCAATGGCTGAACAGAAATCAACCGAAATTCAAATTAAGCGATCCTCTCCAACTGTAATTGCCAAGCTTATGGGCCTTGACACATTGCCTTCTCCTCTACCCCTTAAACCGCCAAAGGAAGCAAAAAATTGTTCCCCGAAGCTTTCCTCTAAAGATATCCTAGAGAAACCAGCCCGAGACGATCGCTCGCTTACAAAATCCAATGATTCGCAGCTTGAATTCAAAGATGTTTTCGAAGTTGTGGAATTGCCAAAAGCTGAGAAACATGAGAACCACAATATTCGTAAGCAGAGGCCCAACAAAAAACCGAGCGAGACAGGCATGGCTTTTATACGTCAGAGCTTCATTAATGCAAAGCGCCTATCCACTGATGAAATGCTTCAGAGATCTAAGGAATTCGATAATGCATTGGAAGTACTCGAATCAAACAAGGATCTTTTCTTAAAATTACTTCAAGAGCCCCATTCTTTGTTCTCAAAACACTTTCAGGACCTTTGTCACCCCCCTCCCTCTCCACATCTGAGCCACGCCTTAATTCAGGAATCATCAAGAAGTAGCCTTTCTACAAGCTGTGAGTCGTCTTTAAGATCAGAAATAAAAGATAAGAGGTACGTTCATCAAATTAGTGGTTCACAACCATTGAAGAAACCTGCAGCTAACTCTAAAAATCATCCATTTAGAGAATCTAAATGTTCTCCTGAGAAACTTTCTGGCAAAGATCATGCCCAACCCACAGAGATTGTTATTCTGAAACCAGGTATTGCGAAGGCTCGAAAGGCGGAACAAACTGTTGGATCTCTTAAAACCTCTGATAACCACATGTATGGTGCTATAAACCATAGAGAACTTCCGAGGGAAGAGATAACGAGAAGGATGGCATATGCTTCAAAATACAGTAATTATGTTGAGGATGATGGTCTGTGGCCCAAGCCAAGTATTTCAAACAATTCTGATATTGTTTATGAGTATCGTAAGAGTTTTAGCCCCTCATCTTCTTCTTTCATTGAATCTTCAGCTAATTTGAAGGCTGGTAAGGACCTGTCTGACCAGCGGAGGTTGAACCACCACGAAGAAGGCCTTTTGATGAGAACGTCGAGCACTCTGGGTGAGATTCTGGCTTTATCCGACAATGAGACAACAAATAGGGCAAGAAATACATCATTTGTGAAGAAAGTTCACCCTTTTAGTATCAGTAGCAAAGATCGCTGGAAAGATGGCTTCTTTAGGGATCTACCAAGTTCTAAATCTCTCCCAGCTTCATCTCTTGTTTATGAAAATTGTCTTCATAACTCTAGAAACAGATTTGTCAGTGGTAAGAGCAGGTTTATGCCTAAGAATTCTTCACTTAAAAGCCTCCCAGATGGAAGAGGAAATAGATTACCTGTAAGGGAGGTTCATGTGAGTTCAGAGGACTTTAAGCATAAATCTTATGTGGTTTCTGCTGCTAAAGAGAAACAGACAGCTCGTAATCTCTCTGATAATTGTAGCGTTGGTGTAGAGGATTTTTTACCGGTTCATTCCAGTAACATTGCTGTACCTTCACTTTTAATGAAAGGGAAGGTGTCTGAGAAGCTTCCTAGAGTTACAAGATCAGAAATGAATGGCAAACATTCGGAGTTTGGGTTCGGCGATATGCATTCCAAGGTGAAATTGCAGATAAATATTATATTTGTGGGGCATTTATATACATACCACTCAAATCTTATGTATTTACATACTTGGCACCTAAATTTTACTTTTTGCACTTATACCACCCAAATCTTTCGCATCATGTCAAAAATGCCATCACTTTAACTTTTAGAAGGTGCAATACACCTCGTCATGCATAGTAAGTTTTTATGTATGTAAAAATTGAATGTTTTCGTGTTAGATATGTAAATGCATTGGAATTGAGCGGTATGTAAATCTTCCAACTAAACATGCAAGCAAGTTTGATTGCATGTTGATAGTTTGCCTGCTAAATTTATTTTTAGGGCTCATTGTTTGCATGAATATATGAATTATATTATACTTTAAAAGTGATAATTTCGTTCTACATTTTTTGTATAAGTTTGCAATAATCACATTCGATAGATTTTGAAAGTGTTTGTTGAGCTTTAAATCAATGATAAATGGGGAATATACATATATACCACACAATTCTTATGTATTTACATATATAACAACTAAATTTTTACATTTACTTAAATAGCATTTTAGTCTCATAATCTCACCAAAGCATATGTATGAAAAGGTTTGTTTTACTATAAGAAGTTATATTAGTTGTATTGTTTATATGATGCTAAAGATCTAGTGTTATATAGTCAAATATTAACTTTTAGGTGTTAGAATTATGAATACATGAGGATTTTGTGGTAGGTAAATACCCCCAAATAATTCCTGACAACTTCCAAACAAACAATAATCTATAAATTCATCATTTTTCAAAACATGATTTTTAATCTCAAGCAATAAGTGGGTCTCAAGATACAACTCATGACTTCAACTTCTCCATATAATTCTTCTCTAATGCAGTATGAGGTTTAGGAGGTTACTTTTGCTGCCATTAGCACTAAAATAGAAACCAGCTCTTTTTCTTTTTTTTTTCTTTTGTTGAAAATTATTTTCTTTTATCATGCCAACTGACCTTGCAATAAAACTTGCTGGCATATTTAGCTGGAAGATTTACATGAATACCACTTAATTTCTGGGTATTTACATATCTAACATCTAAACTTCAATTTTTACTTATATGACACCCTACCTATGCATGAAAAGGTGCATTTCACTTTTTAGAAAAAGTGGCATTTTTTATGTGATATGAAAGATTTGAGTGGTATTAACATAAAAATTGAAGTTAGAGATGTAAATACATAGGAATTGGCTTGGTATATATGACTGAAAAAATTTGCAAATTAATGGGCAGTTTCTTAATTTTTTTTTTAATAATAATGAGATTTATATGCATGCAGCAAGGACAATCTAATGTTGGCATAGATGAGCTTCTTCCATTCTACTGCAATAAGTCGGTGTCAGTTTCTCCTGATATGTACAAGGAAGCAGACCAGCCAAGCCCAGTTTCAGTTTTAGAGCTCTCATCTAAAGAAAGCGAGACTATTTCAGAATCTTTTAAGAAGATTAGCGCCGACCTTCAAGGTTATAAATAAGATCACTTGAACTTTTGTCCTTTAATCCTTTTCCCGTATTTTTCAAATTGAGAGAAGTATTTAAATTGTCCCCTGACTCTTTATTAGAAGTCATTTTAGTCCTAAAGTCTATAAAAATGTAAATTTAGTCTTCAGGTTTTTTTCATGGAAAAAATATTGCGTTCAGATAATGGACACAAGTTGTGTATGGACAATGGATGTGATGCACGGAGGAAGCGGAGGAAAAAAAAAACCGACTTTCCCATGCATTGCGTCCGTTGTCCGAACGCAGACTGTCCGGACTCTGGATGCAATATTTTCTCCTTTTAATGGGGGGCTAAAATAATACTCTCCTAGGGTCTATTATAGCCCACATTAAAGGAGTCTATGGACTAATTTGTTACCTTTATTGACTTTGGGATTGAAGTGGCCCTATGTAAATAGTCATTAGACTATTTTGATAATTTACTCATTTCAAAAATATCAAAATGGTCCCTTAACACTTTGTAGGGAGTCATTTTTGTCCTAGTTTATAAAAATGCCAATTTAATTCCTCGACTCTTTTAATGAGGGCTAAAATAGTTTTCTTTGATGTCTATTTTAGCCCATATTAAAAGAATTTGGGGATTAATTTGACCTTTTTATAGAGTCCAGGACTGAAATGAACCCATGTAAATAGTTGGGGACTATTTTGGCATTTTACTCATTTTTAATTTTTACCTAGATCACTCCTATGTCACAGAGCTTCGCACACAACTCCAATTTCTCAGTCTCGACTCAACCAATGGTTTCACAGAGGAAATTGAAGCATTTATATCCTTTGATGACGATTCTGTAGAGCCCTTAGGGGACATACTCCAAGCATTTAGAGACGAAGAGGAGAGAGACTATTCGTACCTTCTTGACATGCTCATCGATTCCGGAATCCTTAAATACGACAAAATCAAGCTTTTTGGTGTCGCCGAACTCCCAGTTTCTGTAAATGTCTTCAGCAGGCTTGAGAAGAAGTACAAATCAGTAGAATCATGGCCAAGATCAGAAAGGAAGTTCTTATTTGATCTTATAAACTCAACATTATCAGAAATTTCTGCTATGTATTTTATGAATATATGGCCATGGATCAAACCAAGCTTTTGCTGGAAGTCCAAGATGGCTCATGAAGGTCTGGTTGAGGAGATCTGGCAGTCAGTGGTAAGGTGTAGGAAGGAGATTAGTAGCAGTTTTTCAGAAGAAAATCTCATTGGATTAAGCTGGTCTGATGGAGTTAATGGCTCTGAAGTTGTTGCAACTGAACTGGAGAATATGTTATTTGAAACTTTGTTGGATCAGCTTGTAAAAGAGCTTATGTATATGTAGGGTGTTATTTGTAAAAAATGAAAAAGTTGTCATCCTGAAGAACTAAAGTGGGGAGCTTTGTCTGAGTAAAACTTCTGAAGGTCGGATTAATGGCGAAAAAAAGATATTTTGGAGTCTTTTTGAGGAGGCAGATTTGCATGGAAGGCCAGCAAATTCTATGTATCGATTAAGCTCACCTTCGAAGGAGGTTCGATTTGCAATTTTCTCTATTATGTATATTCTTTCACCAAGTATAAGTTGGTGTGACCTTATGGTGTGTAATTTGATAAATATATATGAAGGGATGTTTACATACATACCGTCTAATTCTTATGTATTTACATATTGAAGACATAAATTTTGCTTTTTCATTTATATCACTCAAATCTTTCCTATCATATCACAAATATAAAGTAAAATATGAAATATTTTCATGCATAGTAAGATTGCTTATATATAAAATATTGAAATTTACTTGTTACATATGTAAATACATAAAAATGAAGTGTTGAACAGCATTAAGCAGTATAATAAGCTAAACAATTTTCTACTATTACCTCTTATAAATTGCTCTAAATAGCTGTTAAATACAAATTAATTTTCAGTTTTCTTTTTAGTGTAAATTATGCATTTGTTTATTGTCATTTTGGGTTTTAGATGTTGTTATTAGAATAATTGATATAATTATTATTTCTTTGAATATGATAATTAAATTAATATATCAAGCTATGGAAAGCCTAAGTTTAGTAATATAAATTCATCCAATTAACTTGGATGAGGAACATTACATTTTAGCGATAGTTCCACCTCCCCCTTTTAAATACCAAGGTTTATATTTTTTATATGGAAGATTTACATGAAAAACAATTATTTTGTATTTGCACCCAAAGTTTGATATTTATGCATAATTAATTGGTGTCATAATTTAAGCATGAAAATGTATTTTTTACTTTTAAAAATATAGTGATTGTGATATTTTTAATGTAACGTTAAAGATTTTAGTGTTGTGTGTGTGTGTGTGAGAAAAAGATATTACATTATGAGTCCTGATAAATTTCTGGATCAGGACTACAATGGAATTGCAACACATATCCGGAGGAGGCAGATCATACATTTAACAATTCGATATTTCGGGGTCTGTTTGATTTGATTTACGTGTATGTGTGCGCGCGCGATGACAATCGATATGTGACATTTAACAGATCATACATTTAACATTTAGCATGACATTAACAATGGCGCATTTTAACTTGCCAAAAGTGAAAAACATATTTTAATTTACGTGTATGTGTGCGCGCGCGATGCAAGCCTTCGTATGTTGGTGACGGGGCTATAAGTCCACTCAGGTCAAGGGTTCAATCCCACCGTGGGGCGGGAACTTTGAAATTTTAGGCACATAGTGCGGGCTCTCGTCATGGGGCCAAAAAACACATGGGAAATCGATATTTCGGCCTCTGTCACATATCGATTATATCGATTTTTTTTTTGAATATATATATATATATATATATATAATTGAAATATTAGCCGGTAATTATGTGGAATTGAGTTGTATGTAAATACGAAGATTTATAAAACCAGACCGAACCAGTCCATTTAACTGATTCAATCATGAACCAATCGGTGAAACCAATGAACCTTTCCGTCTTCTGATTCAATCCGGGTCAAACCAATGAATTTTGAACATTTCCTTCCTCTGATTTGATGTCTGGTTCAGTTTTCATAACCTTTGTAAATACATACATACCTACCACCCAACTCATACATATTTACATATCTAACATCTATACTTTAGATTTTTACACTTATATCATCCTAACATCTAAACTTCCTTTTTACATTTATATGATCTAAATCTTTAATATCACATCTATAATAGCACTATTGACTTTCAAAAAGAGAAATATACATTTTAATGCATACAAGTAAAAAATTGAAGTTTAGGGGTTAAATATGTAAATACATAGGAATTGAGTTGTATGAGCAACTGTATATATGTTATTTAATGGAGGATCTCTTATAGAGTAAGGCACAACTCATCTGTCTACAAAATAAGAATAACTTCTATGGCAAACGAAAATAAAACATATACAGTTAAACTTGGTTTGTTAAAAAGACAATGTGTAAGAACGGGTCTCATGTACACAAAATTAGCTACAAGATGAGTGCTTCACATGCACGGGCTGTATTTCACATTTCATTTAACATTTAGCATGACATTAACAATGGCGCATTTTAACTTGCCAAAAGTGAAAAACATATTTTAATTTACGTGTATGTGTGCGCGCGCGATGACAATCGATATGTGACATTTAACAGATCATACATTTAACATTTAGCATGACATTAACAATGGCGCATTTTAACTTGCCAAAAGTGAAAAACATATTTTAATTTACGTGTATGTGTGCGCGCGCGATGACAATCGATATGTGACATTTAACAGATCATACATTTAACATTTAGCATGACATTAACAATGGCGCATTTTAACTTGCCAAAAGTGAAAAACATATTTTAATTTACGTGTATGTGTGCGCGCGCGATGACAATCGATATGTGACATTTAACAGATCATACATTTAACATTTAGCATGACATTAACAATGGCGCATTTTAACTTGCCAAAAGTGAAAAACATATTTTAATTTACGTGTATGTGTGCGCGCGCGATGCAAGCCTTCGTATGTTGGTGACGGGGCTATAAGTCCACTCAGGTCAAGGGTTCAATCCCACCGTGGGGCGGGAACTTTGAAATTTTAGGCACATAGTGCGGGCTCTCGTCATGGGGCCAAAAAACACATGGGAAATCGATATTTCGGCCTCTGTCACATATCGATTTTCTTTTTGAATATATATATATATATATATATATAATTGAAATATTAGCCGGTAATTATGTGGAATTGAGTTGTATGTAAATACGAAGATTTATAAAACCAGACCGAACCAGTCCATTTAACTGATTCAATCATGAACCAATCGGTGAAACCAATGAACCTTTCCGTCTTCTGATTCAATCCGGGTCAAACCAATGAATTTTGAACATTTCCTTCCTCTGATTTGATGTCTGGTTCAGTTTTCATAACCTTTGTAAATACATACATACCTACCACCCAACTCATACATATTTACATATCTAACATCTATACTTTAGATTTTTACACTTATATCATCCTAACATCTAAACTTCCTTTTTACATTTATATGATCTAAATCTTTAATATCACATCTATAATAGCACTATTGACTTTCAAAAAGAGAAATATACATTTTAATGCATACAAGTAAAAAATTGAAGTTTAGGGGTTAAATATGTAAATACATAGGAATTGAGTTGTATGAGCAACTGTATATATGTTATTTAATGGAGGATCTCTTATAGAGTAAGGCACAACTCATCTGTCTACAAAATAAGAATAACTTCTATGGCAAACGAAAATAAAACATATACAGTTAAACTTGGTTTGTTAAAAAGACAATGTGTAAGAACGGGTCTCATGTACACAAAATTAGCTACAAGATGAGTGCTTCACATGCACGGGCTGTATTTCACATTTCAAATTATTTCAACATATAAATTCTCTCTCTTTCTCTTACACATGCACGCCCGCGGAAAAAATATTACATCACAACTCCTAACGTAGAGCTACGTTCGGATTGAAATATTCGACTGTGTTACGGGAATATTCCATCTGCGTTATTTGTAAAAATGATGTGTTATTCGAGTATTATATGGTGTTATTCGATTATTTTGTAGTGTTATTGGAATATTTCTCTGCGTTATTTGATTTGGGGTTGCGTTATTCACCATATTTCCTGTGTTATTTCAAATTTCACTATGTTATTAGAATAACACAGCCCTAAATCAAGTAATGCGGGGGAATATTTCAATAACACTTCAGCCCCAAATCAAGTAACGCGATGGAATATTTCAATAACTCCGCAAAATAATCGAATAACACCATATAATACTCGAATAACATATCATTTTTACAAATAACACAGATGAAATTTTCTCGTAACACAACCGAATATTTCAATCCAAACGTAGCTCTACGTTAGGAGTTGTGATGTAATATTTTTTCCGCGGGCGTGCATGTGTAAGAGAAAGAGAGAGAATTTATATGTTGAAATAATTTGCTTTCGATTTAGAATTGTGTGATTGTCAATATTTATTGGAAGATTTACATACGATACCGAGCAATTCCAATTCATTCACATACCTAACACCAAAAATTAAATTTTTTACATACATACCATGATATCCATGCACGAAAAGGCTGTATTTGACATTTCAAAAATTAAAATTAAAGTATTTTTTATGTGACGAGAAAGATTTGGGTGGTAGAAATGTAAAATACAAAGTTTAGGCCTTCAATATGTAAATACATAAAAATTTGCCCCCATATTTTTATTATTTCGTTTTTCATGATCATACCATGATGCATTTATTCCACATTGCAATAAATAAAAAATCATAAATTACTTCCCTTCTACATTCCCACTCACAAGAAATTCCATAACAAAAAAAATATCTATAAATAAAATATATTATTATATTTATATAACAAAAATATTTATATCACCACATTCCAAAATAAAAAAATATATATAGCATTATTACGTGCAGACATAGAAGGTGCAAATAGATGTGAATTGATGGTATTTGAATCTTATTCAACATAACGATGAAATAATATGTATGGAATAGATGTGAATTTGATAATGCTTCACTGATCCGCACTTACACTTGCCACGGGGAATAATAGCTATATACCAACACCTCAATACCACCTCAATACCACGTCCCAATTGGGAGCATTCTTAGAAAGATGGAGGAGCCAAAAGAGTGGAAGGAGGCCGGAGCTTGCCACGGCCATTGCCGACCCATAGAGACGCATAATTTTCATCAGAAATGAGGCTCGATGGAGGGCTATCGGGCGGCGGGAGGGAGGGTCCGGAAGGAGGAACATAGCGGCGTTCTTCGGCTTCGACTTCGCCGGAGGGAAGTAGCCGGCGAGCCGACGTTGTGGAGGCACCGACGAGGATCGAGGCGACAATGATGGCGAGGAGGATCGACGGTGAGCGCATCATGAAAATTAGGGTGAAGAAAGGAATGGAGTACTGGGGATTTATGGTTAGAGTTTAGGGTTTCTTCAAATTGTTTTTGATGGGCAAACTTAAGTAAGATTTAACACATTCTGCACCAAACAGCTAAAATGACAGCTTTGAATAGAAGTTTTACAGTGTAAATGAGTCCTCCTCTCCCATTAATTGAATCCTTTAGACCAATAGTGACCTTTGTTGTTGGAGTTGTTTTCGATCTAAATTAGGTTAAAACTAATTTTTACTAATCTTAAATTTGTATTTATATCCTCATAAAAAAAAATTTTAAAAAAAATCGTTTTGAAGAGTGGCTTTATACAACTTCATTATTATTGTAATCATGATTTACTTCAATGTACGTCGATAATGTGTTGTTGTTGCTCCTGAGAAGATCTAATGGATTAGAAAGAAGAAAGTACGATAGAGGAGAATCTACCGACAGAAGACCATGAGACCCGCTTATTTGATTTGATGCAATTGTTTGAGCCAAAGCAAACAGGGGAAAGGCCGACCGAGTTGTGACGATGACTGAATGACCCAAATCTAGCTGCTCCATCAAACACGAGACAAACATACATTCAAGCAAACCAACATGAAGAAGCTAACATAAGATAAGATCTAGTCCCTCCACATCTCCAACCATGTCAGAGATGTCCAGAAATTCTCACATCTATTATCAGAGCTAGACGACTAAATCAAGCAAACTGAACGAGTCATGTTGGCCCAAAGCCAATCCAACTCAATTGACCGGAGACACCAATAAAGCCCTATCGAGCTAGTTAGAAAAGATCCTATTAAAATGTCTTATATGTCCCTCATTAAAGCAATGACAAAAATGCATCATTATCGTATTACATTCCTTTCTCATAAATAAATAAAAAATGATTTTAATAGGATTTTTTTATCATGCATATAAATTTCCCAAAAATAATTAAAATGTCATCGTTCTCGTAGTTAAAAATAAAAAAAATCGAAAGATGAAATTAGAATGTAATTAAAAGTTAATATTAACTTTATATTTTATAAATTCTATTGATTTGATTTTTGATAATTTGCACATACTGGGGTCTGTTTGAGGCAGTTATAGTTTATTGAATAATCTGCTGATAAACTGATTAAAAATAATCTATTGATAAACTATGTGCAGTAGCTATTATAAATTTTTATTTTTTTAGAAAAGTCATATCGCAGCCAGAAAGCTCCCACCGCACCTAAATAAGTTATAGACGCGTCGAGAAAACGCTTTTTTCAACATTTTGAGAACTAATAAGCTACCAAAACACACTTTACCCAAACAGGCCATGTGCATTTTCAAAATGCCACCGCACCAAATAAGCTGCCCCAAACGGACCTGCAGATTCACATCTAACACTTCCATATTTGAAACCTATAAATTAAAATTTGTAGTTGAATTTTAAAAAGTAATGGAAAGTAACATTTATAATTTATGGGTGCTATACAATATAAAAATGTAAGATATTTGCATAAAATTAGCAAAAATAAACCCCCAAAATAAATCATAAACCATCTGCTGGAATAAAAGTTCAAACCACAAATCTCAAATTCGTAGACTTTAAACATAAACTAACAATATTAATTTGGCAATTGAAACTTTCTGTTTAAAAAAAGACAAGATTGCATCAAAATGAGAGCATGGCACAAATTTCTAAGCTTTGATGGCATATTTCCTCAGCGGAAAATACATCTCCTTTTTCTTCTGCCGCTCAGTCTTCAGTGACGCCTGTTCAGGAATTAAAATGAGTTAGAAATAATAATTTGGGAGCATATACATACACGCCACCCAAGTCCTATGTATTTACATATCTAACATCCATATTTTACTTTTTACATTTATATCATCCAAACATCTATACTTTAATTTTTACATTTATTTCATATATAAAATTTTTAGCATGACATTAACAATGGCGCATTTTGACTTGCCAAAAGTGAAAAACATATTTTAATTTACGTGTACGTGTGCGCGTGCGATGCAAGCCTTCGTATGTTGGTGACGGGGTGACGGGGCTATAAGTCCACTCAGGTCAAGGGTTCAATCCCACCGTGGCGCGGGAACTTTGAAATTTTACGCACATAGCGCGGGCTCTCGTTATGGGGCCAAAAAAAAACATGGGAAATCGATATTTCGGCCTCTATCACATATAGATTTCCTTTTTTGAATATATATATATATATATATATATATTATATATATATATATATATATATGTAAAAATTGAAATATTAGCTGGTAATTATGTGGAATTGAGTTGTATGTAAATACCAAGATTTATAAAACCAGACCGAACTAGTCAGTTTAACTGATTCGATCGTGAACCAATCAGTGAAACCAATGAACCTTTCCTTCTTCTGATTGACTGATTCAATCCTGATCAAACCAATGAATTTTGAACATTTCCTTCCTCTGATTTGATGTCTGGTTCAGTTTTCATAACCTTTGTAAATACATACATACCTACCACCCAACTCATACATATTTACATATCTAACATCTATACTTTAGATTTTTACACTTATATCATCCTAACATCTAAACTTCCTTTTTACATTTATATGATCTAAATCTTTAATATCACATCTATAATAGCACTATTGACTTTCAAAAAGAGAAATATACATTTTAATGCATACAAGTAAAAAATTGAAGTTTAGGGGTTAAATATGTAAATACATAGGAATTGAGTTGTATGAGCAACTGTATATATGTTATTTAATGGAGGATCTCTTATAGAGTAAGGCACAACTCATCTGTCTACAAAATAAGAATAACTTCTATGGCAAACGAAAATAAAACATATACAGTTAAACTTGGTTTGTTAAAAAGACAATGTGTAAGAACGGGTCTCATGTACACAAAATTAGCTACAAGATGAGTGCAGTACATGGCTAATTGGACACTAATCTCAAAACAAAATTGACGGCTACAAAGCCCGTTTTAAGTATAAATCAAATCAAAAAGGGGCATTTACATCATACCACTCAATTCCAATGTATTTATACATCTAACACCTTAAACTTCATTTTTTTTATTTTGTGCCACCAAAATCTTTCATAACGGCATCAAAATGACCACCTTTTCAACTTCTAAAAAGTGAGCACAACCTTTTCATACAATGGTAAGGTGGCATAAAAAAACATTGGAATGGAATGGCATGGCATGTAATATGTATGTAAATATCCCTAAATGAAATTCATGTCGAATAATTAAGAAGGAAAAAGGAAAATGCCTAAATTAACACGGATGCAAACTATTCAAAAACCAAGGCAATATTCAATATAAATTAATGGAAAATAATAAATTCAAAAACTAAGGCAACAAAAACAATAACAAAACCTTTATCCCACTAAGTGGGGCCGGCTATGTGAATCCTTTTTCTCCATTGCATCCTATTCAATGTCAGATTTTCATTTAATTCTAATAAATTAAGATCATTTTTTATACAATATGCCCAAGTATTTCGAGGTCTACCTCAGCCTTTCTTAACATAAATAGAATCTAAAACATATACTCTTCTAATCAGATCATCAGATGATTGACGTTTAATGTGACCAAACCATCTAACAGACAATTCTCTCTAATTTTGTCGGTCATTGGAGCTACACCAGCCCTATCACTGATATATTCATTTCACATTTTGTCTGTAAGTGTAAAGCCGCTCATCCGCCTAATCATTCTCGTCTCGACAACACTTAACTTAATTTTATACTTCTCATTTAAAGGCCAACATTCAGCGCTATAGAGCATTGCAGGTCTCAGCACCATCTTAGAAAATTTTCCTTTCAGTCTAAAGGATACTTTTCTATCACATAATAAGCCTGAAGCATTCCTCCACGTCGACCAACCAATTTGAATTCTACTAATAATATCCACATTACTTTGAACAATAGACACGAGATATCTAAAGCATTCACACCTTTTAATAATTTGATCACCCATATTTACATTTCTGTCACTAGAGTTACTGCAACTAAAATTATATTTTATGTATTTAATTTTAGTTCTACTCAAATGAAGGTCTTTAGACTCCAAGGTCGACCTCCATAATTCAAGTTTTTCCTAAGCTTTTTCTTTTGTCTTATCTACAAGAAGAATATCATCAGCAAAAAACATACACCTCCTATAAGTGTCCAGTAAGGCCATCCATAACTAAAACAAAAAGATATGGACTTAAAGTCGATCCCTCGTGTAACAACAGAAGTAGGAAAATATTTGGTCAATCATCTTTAGGTTCAAACACAAGTTGCAACTCTTGTATCTTTACTGACTTGAATATAAGTCATGAATATAAGTCATATCAACATTATCAACATCTTTCTTCTCAAGCACTCTCCAAAGGATATCTCTTGGAACCTTATCGTAAGCTTTTTCTAAATCAATAAAAATATATGTAGATTCTCCTTGTGAACTCTGAACTCCTCCATCAAACCTCTCCACAAATATATAACTTCCATGGTAGACCTACCCGACATAAATCCGAATTAATTATGAGAAATCTTAATAACGGGTCTTAACCTATGTTCAATTACACTCTCCCCTAATTTTACAGTATGACACATCAACTTAATTCCTCTATAATTTGCACACTCTTGTGCATCCCTTTTATTTTAAAAAAGAAGACAAAAATACTATTCCTCCACTTCTCAGACATCTTTTTAGTTTTTCAAAAAAAAATTAAAGAGTTTAGTAAATCAAGAATGAGAAATGTTTATAATGGGTCTTAACCTTTGTTCAATTACCCTCTCCCCTAATTTTAAAGTATGACACATCAACTTAATTCCTCTATAATTTGCACTATTGTGCATCCCCTTTATTTTAGAAACGGGGAGAAAAATACTCTTCCTCCACTCCTAAGACATCTTTTTTAGTTTTTAAAAAAATATTAAAGAGTTTAGTAAACCAAGAATGAAAAATCTTTATAATGGGTCTAAACCTATGTTCAATAAACCTCCCCCTAATTTTAAAGTATGACAAATCAACTTAATTCTTCTATAATTTGCACACTATTGTGCATCCCCTTTATTTTAAAAATGGGGACCAAAATACTCTTCCACCACTCCTCAGGCATCTTTTTAGTTTTTACAATAATATTAAAGAGTTTAGTAAACCAAGAAACTCCCAAATCTCCTAAATATTTTCAAACTTTAATTGAGATATCATCAAATTCTACATAATTTTCCACCTTTGATTTTCTTTAAAGCATCATCAACTTTTTTTAACTAATGAGACGGTAAAAATGGAACATTTTATTATTATTAACGATATTAAGATCACCAAGATCGATCGTATTTTCTGAAATTTCATTAAAAAGTTTATCAAAATAACTCGCCCACCTATTATAATTTTTTCTATGAAAAACACTTTGATTTTCATCTTTAATACACTTTACTTGAATTAAATTTTTTATTTGCTCTTTGTTTAACTAGTTTATACATATTTTTAACCCTCCTTAGTATTTAATCTATTATCAAGATCGCTAAAAGCAAAATTTTTATCGTAAAAAAAATTAATTTCTTAGACTCCTTACGGGCATTAATGATTGTTAGAGCAAGTCAACTGATTCAAATAAGACCACAAACGACAACTAATATTGATTAAATGAAAATATACAAATAATTTGATAAAATAATGAAAGAGTCTACATAACAACCAAGATTAAGTATAAAATTCAAGCACTAAAAAACAAATAAGGTGATCATCAACCAATGCACATCAAACTAAAAGATGGCATTCTAAACAATAGCGCAAATAAAAAAGGAAAAAAATAATTCTTCACAGTGATATAGAGGAATATCAATACACAACTTCAAGAAGAACGAATCATCTTTTCAAACATTAGCACAAAAATTTAGAATGTATATCTCATTTTTTTATATCCAATGATTTCTTATTTATTCAAAATTAATTTTCCATTTTCTTATCATTTAACTATATAAAATGCTTAAATCAAAATCACTTGTCCATTTTTGTAACAACTGACCAACTTGTGAGCCACTCAAACTCATTGAACTAAGCTTAAACTCAAACTCGAGCTCGACTGATTAATGGATCTCACACTCGAGCTCAAGCTAAGGATCTTGAATAATAGTAAGATTTGCTATTTAAAAAAGATAATATTTATATTAGGCCAATTGAAGGAAGATAACACCTATATTAGGCCATGAGAGATTACTGCTTAAAAAGTGCATTCATTACCCAAAACTTTAGAAGACACCAAGCAAAACAAAAAAGAAATATTTCTAAGAATGTTAATGCTCCATTGCATAATTGGAGCATCAAAAGCATACTACCATAGGTTACAAAAGGGAAAACTTAATTCCAACTTTCTTAAAAATCAGACTTAACATTGAATCTGAAAAATAAAAGATTCGAAGTTCAACAAATCAAATAACAAATATAATATTAAACGATCCAACAAGAGGATGGGCTCAATCCCCTTTCCTAAACCATGCTTAATTCAAAGAGGAACAGAATACAAGCAAACACACGAAATATGGTCTACAATCATGTGAAAGCAAGGTAATACAGCAAACAATTTGATTCCAGAGTTAAATCCTTTTTCAATAAAATCTTGCATTTTAGAGAGTGAAACTCATAGTTCTAGTTCAACCAGTAGAAATAAATTATTAAGAAAGCAATAGAAATTACTATGTAGAAAGCATCAAACTTCAGACGATGACAGATAAAACATATCAGCAACCCTTGTTAGAAATAAATTAATGCAAAATCCATACTTTTGGAGCGAAAATTCATTCACTGAGATCAACCTACAGCATTTACACGTTTGTTATTTCATTGCGACGACGTGTTTGATCTAAACGCCCTACAGACACACAAGTGACGCTCTTATACCACAACACTTTCATGGATCCCCGAGCACAACGAATACCCCAGATGTACCCGGCAGCAATGAATAAAACAAAAGTTATTTAATAGAAATTTGGAGCGGACGAATCTAACCTGACGCTTGGTAAGCTTGCGCCTTATCGCGCGGGTTTTCTTCGGCCTCAGATCAAGCGGGATGAACTTCTTCTTTCTGTAAGCCTCCCTCAGCGCCGCCTTCTGCTTCTGGGATATCACCGTCAGCACTTGCGCGATCGAAAGCCTCACCACCTTGCTGCGAAAACCCCATAACAGATGATATTATTGCATTGCATGAGAAAATTAAATAATGAATACGAATAGAAGATGAAGGATATACATCTTTGAGAGCTTGTTTGGGGCTCCACCAGTGACCTTTGCGACACGGAGAAGAGCGAGCTCTGCCTTCAGGTCATTAAGCTGGTTCAGAAGCTCCGTCTTCGACTTCTGTCGAAGTTCGTGAACCTTAATCCTGGCTATAACAATAAATCTTTGCGTGAGTTTAAATCTTCAGTAACTGAAGCGAATAACATTAAAACATCGTCGAGATCTTACCCATTGCTCCACCGCTCCTCTGGATCAGACGAGAAACCCTAGAGGACGGCGGGTTTCTTGTTTATATAGTATTGTTCCACCCTAACCCTAATTTGAAGTTGGCTGGAACAGGCTTCACTACTGGGCCTGATAAAGTTGCTTTTATTATTTTGGGCTACAGGCCGAGCCCAAATATGCACAATTGGAATACACTGTTAACCCCTGTTTCTTATTATATCCATATTACATAATCTTCTGAAATTGCTTATTTAGTAATTAAGAGTTTCTTTTTTCTTACATTCGAATTTAAGTGCTAAATCTCTCCTGGTAAAATGTAGGGCTGTCAAAAAAAGCTTGTTATTCGCGAACAGTTTGTGTTCAGTTCTTCAATGAGTTCGTGTTCGATTCGTTTGATAAGTAAACAAGACGAAAATGAACAAATTTTTTTCGTTCGTTTAGTTAGACGAACCAAACACGAACAATGATGTGTTCGTTGGTGTCTGAATCATTATTGTTCGAAATATAAAATAATTTAAAATAATTATATATAAAAATTTTATGATATTTAAAAAAAATTAAATTTTATAAATTATAATATATAATAAAATAATAATAATAATAATATATTAATATACTATATTAGTAATATATTAATATAGATATTATATATTTATATAATATAATATATTATTTATATATATTAATATTAGGGATGTCGAATTGACTTGTCATTCGCGAACAACTCATGTTAGCTCGTTCGTTAATAAACGAACACAAACAATGATTTCACGAACAATTTTGAACACGAGCTTATTTCAAACAAATTAAATTTCAAACGAACCGAACACAAACACAAGCTCTGTTCGTTTACACCCCTAGTAAAAGGTAAAAGTAAAATCTTTAGTGCATTAACGGGATGGTATGTATGTAAAAATTGAAAATTAGTTATTAGATATATAAATAGATTGGATATGAGTGGCATGCATCAAAATTTTCCCCTTTTTTTTTCAGTTTTATTAAAAAAAAAATATTTGCAAAATATGCATATAAATTCATATTGATATCCTCTAATTGAGACCACATGAAATCGTTCAATAATATAAAATTGCTCGATGTATAATGGGCTTGAAAATTGATGAATCTCATTTTACTCGGTGTACAATATAATATTAGTCGTTGTATAATGGGTGTGAAAGTAGATGTTTGTGCATCCTTACGACAATCTCATTTTGCTCAGTGTATATGGGCATGACAATTGATGAAGAAAATGCTAAGTACAGTCAGATGTGTGTTTAAGGAATTGTTATTGTATTCTTTTCCACGGTCAAAGCAAATAATTTTTATTTTAGTTGAATTGATGCTGAGAAAGTGTAATGAAGTTTTGAGTTGTGTGTGTTGTTGTAGATTTATGACACATAGGAAACACCCAATAAAATTTAGAGAAATTGTCATCAAAAGCAATGTAATATATATATTATTGATAAGAGGTGACTAGGGAAGAACACCATACATCGCTACAATAAGTTCAAATAATTTGTATTTTTTGCCTATAATAGGTACAAGGGGTTGTTTACGGCTCTTGGTAGGGTTGTGCGTGAAGCAAAATGTTGGGTTGGATGTGAGAAACATAGGTTGTATTTTGGATAATGCAACAACGACTCCTGGAAACGTCGACGATAAAATTCAGCCTGTTGTATTTTTGTAATAGAAATAGGTAATGATTGTGGTTGGTAGGTAGATGAGAGTGAGGAGTAGAGTCCATTAATATTGGGACCCTTGAAGAGCATTTGTTAAGTTTGTGGGTCATATGAAAATAACATTATTGTCTTTCAGTAGTTTATGAATAGATAAGAGATTACGAGCGAGCAAGGGAGTGCGATGAATTTGTGAGAGTTCGAGCTTACAATTGGGAGTTGAAAAAATACTGTCACCTTTGCAATAAATTGGAACAGCTTGACACTTCTCTACCAGCACTTGCTCAACTCAATTATGAAGTGGGTAGTTGCACAAAATCCAATATCTAATCCTTTGCGGTAGCTTTGAGGGCTTGAGCTGGAATCGTGGGAGTATATTCAAGGTTCATTTGATGCCAATGATTTTGGATGTTGAGTCTCCCGTTTTATGACATATTTGACATATAATATTGGATTTGAGTGTTCATATACAACCACTCGCTCCACCAAAATGACTTCCCATTTGGTTTGAGTGGTAATTTCTTCCTCGGCCACTTGTTCCTAAGTTGTGGCATCCCTTAGATGTTATAAGTGCAATTGGTGGTTCAGTGTAGCATATGCTCAGTGCTGTCATTGTTGATATTTATTTCCTCGCTAAGAAAAACAAGTAGAGGTCATCTAGAGCCATCAGTTGGAGAGATGTTCTAATGGCAATCTTAAATGCATTGTAGGATGGTGGCAATCCATTGAGCATGTACATGACAACATCTTCTAGGTCTAATGGCGATCTCACAGTTGTTTTGTGATCCAATAGGGATCTAATTTCCACTAGGCATTGCGACATGATGCGATCCTTCATTGAGATGTGTTGTGAGATATGTACTTCCTGACATAGAAATGAGACGAAAAAGGAACACAAGCAAACACAGATCGTTTACGTGGTTCGATCCAACTGGATCTACGTCCACGGAAGGGAATCAATCAAATATTTCACTAAGGCAAAAGAAATGGAGAATACATAGCTTATACATAAAGATGAGCCCTCATCTTCCTTCGATGGCCTCCCTCTCAAGCGACACCTTAATACAAGGCCTCAAGATGCTCTCCTCCTCTCTAACTCTATAGCTATTCTCTCCTCCTTTGTGGTAGCTCAAGATATCTTCTCCCTTACTCTCCT